CTTTTTTTACGAGCAACACCTTGAATAATCCTTAATAAAATGTTATTGAAGGCGTTTTTGGATATAACCACCTTTAATAATCCGATCATTAAAATTTATCATCTAAAATATTAAAGACATTTTTTGGGGAAAAACACCTTCAACCATCTGTTCAAACTGTTGCCTATGGATTATTAATGACGTTTTTTTACCAAAACTACCTTTAATCATCATAACAAAAATTTATTGATTGGAGTATAGAAGGCAAGTTCGGCAAAAAACGCATTCAAGAATCAACTCATATTTTTTCTATGGATTATTAAGGGTATTTCTCTGCGAAAAATGCCTTCAATAATCTATGCAAAATTTCTTAAAGCAATTGGTGAATGTGTTTTTTCGAAGAAAATGTCAACAATAATCAATTATAAATAATTTATGCAAAAACTCAAAAAAGGCTAAAGGGAATGATCGAACCTACATCTTTATAATTAACATCTATATGATCCAAATATTTTGATATGATATTTATTGAAAGTATTTTTGAACAAAAACGACTTCAATAAGCCTGTGAAAAATATTGGTCCAATTATTAAATACGTTTCTTATAGAAAACACATTTAATAATCTCATACAATTTTTTAAAATGATTATTAAAGGCATTGTCTGTAAAAAATACACATTTAGTATTCACTGAATTTTTTAAGGTAAAATTATTTAAAGTGTTTTAGTTGAGAAATGCCACTGATAACAAGTTTTGAATGACGTTTATAAATAACAACATTATTCTTTGAATATTTAGTGATGTTTTAATAATAAATACTTTAAATTTTATAAAAATACAAAAATTAACGATGTTTGTAAATAAATGACCATTATAAATCTGTTGCTAAAATGCCATTTTCTTGTAGCGCTGAGGAATGACGACTAAAGATATAGCCATAGCCATGATGCATCTGCAGCTGCAACTCTAGTCTCTGATCACTTTTAGTGCTGGTAAAGTATGTACGATAATTTTCCACATTAAAGGAGATTCCAAAGGAATTTCCAATGCAATTCTCAAGCAATTTTACAGCTAGCTGAGCAAATCCCTGGAAAAGCATTTAAGGGGCTGCTCTCATCAACAGTAGAATTAATAAGTACATAGAGTCTTTCTTCCTTTAAATTTTCTCCAATCAATTGCCTTTGAAATCCAAGTCAATATATAGAAAGAAGACCAAATTCTTAACAAGTAATTATTGTTGCTTATGGTGTGTGGATGTACAAAAAAACGTGGGGATATGAGGCAATTCTATTTAATTGTAGGTTAGGATTGTATTTGGTGTAAAATTAAACATAGACTGAATTGGAAGGGGTCCTCCATTGTTGCTTTTCATAGATAGATTTCACTTTTCATCAACAATTCTCATCCACTGGGATTGGTTTTTGGTCCTTTTGGAAAGTGGAAATCGCTCCAGAAAAGTGCATAAGCCTGTAAGCCCTTGTTTTCCTGTCTTGCTAGGACAACTTCCCCTACAATTGCCCAATGAAACCCGAAAACCATGTTTCTGCAATGTCATTAATCCTTTTGGATAGTGAACAATTACAGGATGATTTAATTCACTCCTTGTTTATGCTTTCATCTAATCCTCTATAGATGATCAAAAAAGTATTGAAACCCATAAGTAAAAGCATTTACATGATCAAAACTCTTCAGATATCTTCACTCATTTCAAGACATAACAAGAAAATTCAAGATTCAATCCAGGGGCCCCTTTCGGATTGTCTTTTTGTGCCATGAAAGTTAATGATATTGACCACATGCATTTTATTGTGTTATTAGGTGTTACTAATATTTTTTAGGTTTTTTTTTTTTTTACAGGTTCTTGCCAAGTAAAAGCTCAACAATAATTTGCACAATGGTCAATATGATAATTAAAATAAGACATGAAATGAAATGACAAGATATTGTCCACCATAGGTTATTATGATCTTTAAAAACCGTTCAATGCATAATTGACTCAAACACCATTTTAAGGCAAACACAATGTCTAAAGTCTTCGCTACTAATTATGCGAAACTTTTTTTTTCACTTAAGAAAGCATCAGTTGCCATTTTTCAAAGAAAATGAAAATCCCAAAGCCAGGATTTGCATTTTGCAAACCGATCATCGATCTTCTTACACCTAAATCTGGACCACAAAACCCAAAGTTAGTGATGTGGCCCATTTTAGTCCCTAGACGTCAGACTTGTCACTGTCCAAAATTGGTTTTTCTTCAGGTACAGTAGCACAACCCCAACTCCACAACATATCAGGACTAGGCAATAAGCCCCCCAAAGTTACTTTTGTTAGGTTTTCTCCGTCTCAGTACTGCTTCTGTCTCTGATATACAGTGCTCTAGAAGGTTGCTGCATTTCTGGTCCTGTTGTAGTCCCACAAATTTTATTCATTGTAGACAGGGCATGTGTAAAATAAAAAGTTCATTACTGCAAAGGATATGAAATACTATAGGTGATTGAACACAAAGAAGGTCAGTGTTGAATTAAGGGAATCATTTAAGAGATGTCTCAAGTGAACATGGGACACCTACTTTAAAATGCTGTTTCATTCTTTAAATATGAGTCGATTAGATCCTGATTTAGTGGTTAAGTGATTTTGTCAAATTTTATATTTAATATTATTTAATATTAATTTTTTTGTTAGTTTATTCGTTAATTTATTTGTTCAAATATCTGGTTGGATTGTTAAACATTCATAATTATAATAAATAAAGATGCTCAATTTGAATATACTATGATAAGATACTTGATATTTAACACAAAAGAGATAATATCATTTTATAAATTCTTACAATGTGTGGATAAATTATCATGTAACCAACTAGAATAAAGTAGAAAGATCTGAATTTTAATATCATGTTAAACAATAAATTTAAAATCAAAAATAAAAAATAAGATCAAATCAATTGTTATTACTGATTGAACCGAAAAAAGATGGTTTGTTTGAACCAATAAAGTGCATAAAACTTGGAATCTTTTGTATTGGTTAAACAAACGATTAAATTAGATTGATTTGACGTTTGAACTTATAGGTTAAAGTGGATCGGTCGAATGTTTAAACCAAGTTCGAGTTTAATTATTATAATAATAAATTTTGAATTTTTAACCTCTTATTTTTACATTAAAAATCAAATAATTTACACTAATTATTTAATAGGCAATCCAAACTTACTATGTGTGAGATAATCTCATTTTAATATGGATTTCTCGAATAAGAGAAATGAAGTTAATGGTAGGAAAAAATTTTTATTATTCATTATGTAATCTAAAATTATATATATAACAAATGAGATTGAAAAACAAAAAAAAAAAAAAAAGTCAGTCAATTAAAGTATACGTAAAATTTATTCCATGTCTTGACTTATTTATTTATTGTCTCCTTGTATAAATCTTGGTATGTATTAATTAATGAAGTGGAAGACGGAATTTCTGCTTTGAATCATCAGTCAACTCTATGGTGTTTATTTTAATGGGGTGATCAATTGATTATTATCGGAAATACGTCAATGCTGCAAACTCTTGGAACCTACCATGTAATCTGATCTCCGTCAATACTTGACCTATGTCAACCACGTGTCGCATGGCAATCTAAATCATTAACCTTTTTGATACTAAACATGAAAAATGTTGATCAAGAAATTACTATATTTAATCATAACACCAATAAATTATTAATTAGATAAGATTAAGGAGTAAAAATCAACCACTTTAAGCATGATGATTATTAAACATGAAGAAATATTGATAAAGAAATTGCAATAAGAATCATAGAATCTGCAAAGAAAAACATAAATCCAGTTTTATTGGTGTTGTTCCAACATGTGGTGATGTGCTTTATGCTGTGATGATGTTTGACTGGACAAGTTAGTCTGTGCTTCTTTTTTCTTGGAAATCATTTTAAAAATTATTATTTTTATTTAAAATTATTAAAATTTAAAATTTAATTTAATTAATTTGTATTATTATTTTAAAAATTGATATCAATTAAATTTCAAATTCTCAAATTCTAATACTTACAATTTTTCTCTTATTTATATAAAAAATATCATAATTGAATTTTAATTTATGAAACTGTTTTAATAAAATTTTATATATTATATAAATGTCTAAAATAATGTATATAGTAATTTTTTTAAATAAACAATCATTTTTTTCGTCCCAAACTTCAAGTCATGGGTTAGAATGGACGTTTTTTGTCGTTGGTCAAATCAAATTAGTAGGATTCCAAATTAATGGAAATGCATCCAAACTTTCCACCTGATTATACGCTGATATCATCGCCATTTTCTGATGAACTTTTTCTTAAAACGACCATCATTCTCTTGGAAAGGAGACTTGGGTGCATTATCACAAGATTACAATAATAAAATATCATTCATATGTAGAGCAATACATTCGATTTGAAAATTGAACAACCATCTAAATCCAAGAGATAAAGTATATATATATGTGGAGAGAAAAGAAAGAGACAAAAAAATTTTACAATTTTTTGCAATTTTTTTACTAATTAATTTCATTAATTTTAAGGATGAGATTAAGTTTTTATTTATTTGTTTATTTATATTTCTCATCTTTTGAATTTATTGAAATTGATAGTTAAAAAAATATAGAACTTTTTAAAAATTCAAACTTAATCTAATTTGATTTGATAAAAAAATTAATAACCCAAATAAATGATTCAAAATTAAATTAATTTAATTTAAAAGTTTAATTAATTAAATTTAAAATCAACCGAACTCAAAACAAATTCGAAAAATTTTCAATTTAAAATATTTTATGCAAATCCAATATATAAAAACGATTCAACTAAAAATTGAATGAAAAGATGAGTTAAAAATTTTTTGGTGGCATGAGCTGGAAAAGCCGGAATTGAAACAGTATCTTTGTGTATATATAATTTTCTGAATAATTAAAACGGTCAATATGACAGTCCACTTAGCCCTACAGCAAACCCCACAACCGGTTCGTATCTACGAAACTTTTTTCTTTGTGGCAACTCATGATATATATATTTTTGCTTTTTAGCCTTTGGCTTTCATTTCTGATAGAGGAACCTTTAAGGCTATAACTAACAAAGAGAGTATAAACACATTAACCCTTGTTCCTGTTGGGCAATTAGACTTCTCTCTTCTTAATTTTTCTTCTCAAAGAAATAGTTATCCATGGAGAACAACCCTAATAATTCCTCAAGAACAGATAGAAAACTCATTGAGAGAAACAGGAGAAATCAAATGAAAGCTCTCTATACTAAGCTCAATTCTCTCGTACCCCATCACAACTCTAGGGTTTATCTCTCTCTCTCTCTCTCTCTCTCTCTCTCTCTTTTCACACTTTTTTTTTTTATATATTTGAGAAGTTGTTACCGATAATTGAAATTAAGAGTTCAACTCTATTAAAATGTGCACAAATATTTGCTATATCTTGATTATTTTCTTCTTTATTGCATTGCATGATGTATGGGGTTTTAATTTGCAGGAATCAACATCACTGCCTGATCAACTAGATGAAGCTGCAAACTACATAAAAACGTTACAGGCAAACTTGGAGAGAATGAAGGAAAGGAAAGACAGTTTAATGGGAGTAGAAGGGACGAATATCACAAGCAGGAGCAGAAGTGGGCCAAAATCTCCTCAAATCCAGATTCATGAAATGGGTTCTTCTTTGGTGATTGGGTTAACAACTGGCTCCAATGGTCAGTTCATTTTTAATGAGACAATTCGTATTCTTCATGAAGAAGGAGCCGAGATTGTTAATGCTAGTTTCTCTGTTGTTGACGGCACTGTTTTCCATACTATTCATCTTACGGTAAGCATGCTATGTTTTCACTTTCATTACCCTTTTTCTTGTGATGTGAGGATTAATGGTAAAATTTGAGGAATCTTTTACTAATTTTTGGGTTTTGTTTTCGAAATTCTTGGCTTAAAAATTGTGTAGGTTGGGGAGTCTGCATCTGATTATAGAGCCACCAGGATATCTGAGAGACTAACGAAGTTTGTCCATGATGTTGGTGCATATGGCAAGTGATTATACCTGCTGTAATAGAGCAGTAAATAATCTGAATCACTCTATCTCCTCTTTGATTGTTAGTAAAAAGTTTTTCAGAACCCTCTCAAGGGTTGAACATCAGGCACCATTGCCGCTTACTATTAGTATATCATGAAATAATACCGCTTGGCAACCAGATCTATTGTTATTATAAATTACGATGTGTTCAATTGCCAAGTTTTTTTCATGTTACCCTTCAGATTACCTCTCAAATCTCATATGCAAGAAGCAAACTACCGGTTAGAACTTTTATGTATTATCAACTCTAGTTTAGATAGGATTATGGTGTGTATTAATGCTCCATATTTTGATGTATTATAATATGAAAACTTCTTCTTGCTAGAGCTTGGTAGTTGGAAGTAATATTTGTTAGTTTTGGATTAGGGTAAATAAAATCCGTTTTGAAGAAATACACTAACTTTTATTTATATATGAATTTATGAATTAAATGTTCATTGTGTTTTATATAAAGTCACATTTCTAAATAATATTAGACTGTTAATTAATACTAGTTTCTTTTTTTTTTGGTTACTTAATTCTTTTTTTTCTTTTTTTGCATATCTGTATGAATGCATCACTTTGTAAAGTGGCTGTCAAAGAAAAAACATACTATATATATATATATATATATATATATATATATATATATATAAAACCGTGTTGTTAGTTTGAACTGATCAATCGCAATATTTGACTGTGAGATTATTGGCAACTTCTGCGGCTAATAGTCAATATACAAAGGCGCAGTGTTCTAGCTAGAACATGTTTTATGAGTTGGGTCAATCAGTTATGTCTTATTTTTTGTTATCCAATGGCAAATTATACTTTTATTGACCAAAAAATAATGATAATACTCTTACCATTTTTCATATTTCAAATTTATTTATATATATATATATGTTGCTTTTTATTTAAAAATGATGAAACATTAAATTTATAAAAGTAAAAAAAAAATTTAATATAAAATACACTAAATTTATTTTTTTAATTTCTAAAATAATTAAAATGGAACATATAAAAATGGACTAGAGGAATATTATCTTTCACAATGCACAAATATATGAATAAAAAAATTTTATACATAATCTTTACATAACAACAATATCATTACAAAAAATTAAGATAAATTAATAAAAAAAATTATAAAATATAAAGATATTCTTCCACTATAATAACGACAAGTTTTTATAATTTAAAATTATTATATAATTGCTCTATTTTCAATATTATTAAATGTTTTTTTAATATATGTAATAAAATAATAATTTTTTAAAATTATATCTCATTCAATCACAATTGGATTTTTAATAGAAAAATAATATCTTTCTTGTTTTTATTAATTTTTTAAAGGATAAAAAATAAATATGTGAACTTTAACTTCTACTAGCCATAAATGGATCCTCATTTTTTTTTATATAATATATTGACCCCTCAAATTCACTTTGTAGGGAAAAATTTTTGAACTTCCAATAAAGGCCTTTGAATGCCATAAATTTTCTCACAATGTGAAATCCTGCAAAGCATTAGGATGCCCACCTTAAAGTACTTTGATGCCTTAAAAAATAAACAAATTGTCTTTTAAACTTTACATTCAAATTCTCTCCGAGGCATTCAAATTCCTTTTTTTTTAAAAAAAATTTCAAAGGCTATTTATTAGCTTTCAAACATCATTTCTTTAATTGAAATGCTAATTATATGATTTCAAACCTTTGTACTTTATAAAAGACACTTAAAACATTTTAATATATATATATATTGATAATATATACAACATTCCCACCTAATAGCATTTTATTAAAGTTGGTAAGATGCATTATTTATAATTTTTTGGTGTAACTACCTTAGTTTATCTTTTATTGTAGAATTTAATGGGAACATATTTTTGACATGGGATTAGAATAATATATATATATATATATATATATATATATATATGAAAAGGTCCAAAAGGAATTCTATTCGTAAGTTGAATGACGAAAGATGAGTGACGTTTGCAAGTTTTTCTTTTTTCTTCATCACAACCAGTAATCTGGAAAATCATGTATTTAAAGGCAAATAGAGGAGAATTTATATATAATAGATTATTATACAAGGGTAAGAAAGGATATGAGAAATCTTTTCTTCTTGTTTTCTGCGGGTTTCCTTTTTCCGGGATATATATCTGACATAACGGATAAAAAAGAAATCTTGAAGATCCTGATCATATTAATTGGATGGATTGCATATTCCCTGTTCCACCTCATAACTTGCCTCCAAAACTTTGGATTAATTTTTCCCCCAACATAACTGGTTGTTATTGTTTTAAAAGCCTACATTACAGCAAAAGCACACTTCCCCTACTTCAAAACCCTGCCTTATTGGGATATGTTTGATGTTGATTGTGTGCACTCGTGCCCTTAAAACATGGGGAAATTATGTAGGTTCAGGCAGGAGGACAATGTATACATATAGATGACAATAAAGAATATGTGAAACAGAGTGGAGTCCTGAAATCGGTTCTTGTTTCCTTTTGTGTCTTTCTCATGCTGCAATTGATCTTGGAGACATTCCTAATAATTTTGCCAAGGATATGGTAATAATTTGGATTGTCGAAAACATGTCTTGTCCCTTTCTTATCATGGATTATTGCGATTCAAATATAGGGCTTATGGTGTAAAAGTATCCACGTACACACACATACGTGTGTATATATATATATATATTCCCAAAACAAAGCAAAAATTGCTTTAAATTGAACTCCAAATGATGCATATTTCACAATTATAACATTGATTTTGATATATATTCCAAATACTTTTTTCATTTATTTATAAAAATATATTTATATATTCATATCTTATTGAATTTATTCAAATTATCGATGGATTATTAACAAATATAATATAAAGTGATATTTAAAAAAATTATGTATTAGTATGATAAATCGTAAAATAATATGAATTATATTTATTCAAATGATCAATGGATTATTAACAAATATTATATAAAGTGATATTTAAAAAAATTAATGTATTAGTATGATAAATCGTAAAATAATATGAATTATATTTATTCAACTTAAATAATTCAAACATCAAAATAAAGAACAAAATTGTGTTTCCAATTTTCATGGGACTAGCACTATATAAGGGTCTCACAAACAGGTAACTTGTTGCCATTTCTTTCAAAAGAATGAAGTGGTGCAAAGTGGAAATGCTTTTGTGATTAGAAAGAGCGAGAGATGAACACCAAATTTTCTTTCTCCTCGTGATCCGTAGTCTAGGATATGGACAAAGAAGCCCAAGCTTTTTAATGAGTGGAAAAGGTCCCTAATTTTGTCTTTGACAAAGTAAAAAGCCTGAAAATCCCAAATTGAAGACTTACAAAGATATAGGCCCATTTTGAGATCTAAAATTTAAACTCATTAAAAGATCTCAAAAGGCCCCAAAGTTTTTCTAACAATAGGTTCACAATCAAGCCCAAAAATTGAGGGTAAACCTGTCATTTAACTTAGTAATGCCATAGGGTTTTCTTTTCCCTTTCCCTAAACCCTCATTAGGCTTTAGTCTTTATCATCACCGTCCCCTTCGCTCACTCTGTTGCAGCCAACTTCCAGAGATCCATCGATAATGGTAGGAGTTTTCGAAGTCGGCGCAGTTCCGTTTAACCCCGACGGCTGGGGGCCACCAGATTCAACCACCGCCACCACCCCAACCACCACCACCACCACCCTTCCTCTCCACGTTCCCTTTGCTCCCTTCTCCCGCTCCGAAAAGCTTGGCCGAATTGCCGACTTCACCCGCTCTTTCCCTTCCTCAAACGCCAATCCATCCAACCGCCCTTCTTCCGCGAAACCCGGAGCAGCCAATTCCTCCGACGGACCCTTCGATTTCTCCCTCGACTTCGACGCTTTCCCTCTTGCTAACCCAGACGACGATTCCTCCTTCCGGTTAGTCGACGCCAAGCCTCCTCCTCGGCCTAAATTCGGCCCTAAGTGGCGTTTCAACCAACACCGGCCTCAACTACCTCAACGACGCGACGAAGAAGTCGAGGCACGAAAAAGAGAGGCCGAGAAAGAACGAGCCCGTCGTGACCGTCTTTATAATCTCAACCGATCAAATCAGAATCAGCCACGTCGTGAAGCTGCGATTTTCAAATCCTCCGTCGATATCCAACCAGAATGGAACATGCACGATCAAATTCCTTTCTCAACATTCTCCAAATTATCCTTTTCGGTTGCCGAGCCCGAAGATTTACTCCTGTGTGGCGCTTTAGAGTATTACGATCGCTCCTTTGATCGAATCACCCCGAAGAACGAACGTAGACTCGAAAGGTTCAAAAACAGAAACTTCTTTAAAGTCACCACGACTGACGATCCGGTGATCCGAAGATTGGCCAATGAGGATAAAGCAACTGTTTTTGCGACGGATACGATTCTGGCAACGTTAATGTGTGCATCCAGGTCAGTTTATTCATGGGATATTGTTGTCCAACGTGTTGGGAATAAGTTATTTTTCGATAAAAGAGATGGGTCGCAATTAGATTTATTGTCTGTCCATGAGACCTCCCAGGAGCCATTGCCCGAAGCTAAGGATGATATTAACTCTGCGTATTCGTTGGGTGTTGAAGCGGCTTATATAAATCAGAATTTTTCACAGCAGGTTTTGGTTAGGGATGGGAATAAGGTTAGTTTTGATGAGCCCAACCCGTTTGCCAATGAAGGCGATGAGGTGGCTTCTGTGGCGTATAGGTATAGACGGTGGAAGCTTGATGATGATATGTATTTGGTTGCGCGGTGTGAGGTTCAGAGTGTTGTTGAGGTTAATAAGCAGAAGTCTTTCCTTACTTTAAATGCATTAAATGAGTTTGATCCCAAGTATTCTGGTGTTGATTGGAGGCAGAAGTTGGAGACACAGAGGGGTGCGGTTTTGGCTACTGAGTTGAAGAATAATGCAAATAAGTTGGCTAAATGGACTGCGCAAGCACTTTTAGCCAGTGCTGATTTGATGAAATTGGGATATGTTTCCAGGGTGCACCCTAGGGATCATTTTAACCATGTGATATTGGCTGTTGTTGGGTATAAACCAAGGGATTTTGCCGCACAAATTAATCTCAATACTGCGAATATGTGGGGGATTGTGAAGTCTATTGTGGACTTGTGTATGAAGTTGAATGAGGGGAAATATGTGCTTGTGAAGGATCCATCTAAGCCTCAGGTGAGGATTTATGAGGTTCCAGCTGATGCTTTCGAGAATGATTATGTAGAGGAACCACTGCCAGAAGATGAACAGGTTCAGCCACCAACTATGGACGGTGAAGGTGAGGAGGCAAATGGCACTACAAATGATGTTGAGGATAAAGAGATTGAGGCACAAACTTAATGGTATGGTTCTTTGGGCTATTTCCTAATATTTCCTATGCTATGTGGTGTGGTGTATCTTAAAAGTCTGTAATGCAATGATAGGTATTCCTTCTAATCGCCCTTGTTCATATGTTAATACTTGCCATGCTTCTACTTGTATGATCCAATTCTTTGCATATGATCTCACTTGTTACTATGTACCAATGTATAGTACCGTATCTATGAGTATGTTGTATGAGTTCTGCGCTAGCAGTTATTATTTCTTTTTCTTTTTGTTTATTATTATGGATAATTAACTGGAATCATATGAGTTAAGCAAATTCTGTGAATGATTAGTTGGTTTATCATTCTATCATAATCTGTCTGAATGATGTTCAAATTTTATTTCTATTTTCCTACTATTCAAATGGATAAAGGTAAGGAGATAGTGTCTGTTTAGCCATTTTCTTTAGAACTTTTATTCAATTTGGAATCCTTTTAAATTTATTTCATCTGGGGTTTTAGGTTTATACTTTAGAGTGGAAGATTGATTGCTAAAAGCTTGATTTGCTGACCTGTTGACAAAGACCTTGCAAATTTCAATAAGAAGTATATTAGTTGCTTTATTTACTGAAGCCAGTCATTAACTTTCTGGATTATACTTCATTGACATATTTCTTTTCCTATGTTATATGGATTCTTTATCTTGATTTGCTTGTTGTGTTGGACTCTTATGATGTTTCAGTGTCGTTTGCTACAGGTTATTGGTGATTGCATATCCAAATTCTGGTATTTATGGAGAACTACGACTCGGGAGATGTTATTGTATCAAAAAGACCAGATTTGAAGATCAAAGATTAGTCTATAAAGTATTGTTCTTTTTTTTTTAAGTCCGCAAGCTGACTTAACAATGTGAGCGGGGAGATTGTATAAGAGCATTTATAACTTGTCTTTTAAAACTGAGTGAACCTAATTCGTAAGCATGCTCTGATGGTTTCATGCTTTGTGTGGAAATGTGGTTATAATTGTTTGCTTCTTCAGAAACTCTTTTCATCTAGAGTTATTTTTCTTTACGTTTGTTAATGTCATATTTTTGGTCCCACTGTAATCCGATTTGGGGCATTTCTTTTTTTCTTTTTCGATTCATTCTGATGCTAGTTATTTGGATTTGAATGTGCTTTTCTGTCCTATATTATTATCTAGGGCTCGGTAAAGGTGAGACTAGCTAAGCCCTGAAGCAGCAAATCTTGTGGCAGTGATGCATTTGAACTTTGAAGCATCGGATGTCTTGAATCCAATCAAACCAACCCTTTTTCTCCTGTATACACAATTATCAATTTATCTCTTTGCATGGAAAGTGGACGAAACGTTTCAATTTTTTTTGTAAAGTCAAATTAGTTTGAAATTTAGCCATTTACACAAAAAAACGTGCTCCTTAACTTATTCTTCAAAAAAAACAAAAAACAAAACAAAACAATTGTTCCGTAATCCTTAGTAGACCTTCCGTCTAGGGAAGAAAATCAATCAAGGGCCCAAATCCATTTAAAGGTGGCCGAATCCAAAAGAGAAAAAAAAGATCGTTCTAGGTCATCTAATAAAGAGCGTGCTTGTAATCATGAAAATCTTTATCTTATCCAATTTGCTAGTCGATTAAGATATCAAGAATGGGAAATGTGATTTGGGCATGCTACATTGTAACATCCAATTATTGAATGTGATGGCGGGTGTAAATGTTTTCTTACACAGCAGAAGTTTTTTACTCGAGGAATAAAGATGATAAAATAATTTATATCAGATGAATTTGATCGATTTTGATTTAATAAAATTAAATTTTTTTAAAATGAAAAATGGAATTGGAGGTGGATTGAGTTTTTTTCAAAATTATATTTGGGTTAGAGTAGAGTTTTAGGTTGCACTAACATTATTTGAGTATATATAAAAAAATATTTTTTATTTATTTATTTTTATGTTTATATATATATATTAATAAAATTATTATTTAATATTTTATTTTAAGATATTAACTTAATAAAAAATATTATATTCATGTATAATTAAAACATAATTTATAATAAAAATATTATTTTATAAATATTATATTAAATTAAAATTATTAACTTAATTTGAGGTTGGATTGAGTTGGTTATATTTTATGAATATGTGGATTGTTTCGAATAGAAAAAAAATAATATTTGTTGTTGGAATCAGATGTAAATATTAAGGAGTTAGATCCAAAAAAATCAATCTTGATCATGTTAAAAATTTTCAAAATAAAATTATAGGAAAGTCAAATTGGAAAAAGAAAAGATAAGGCAATCATTTAAATTAAAAGGAGTATAAGTTTAGTGTAGTTAGACTTATTCGGCTCAAGTGCAAAAATGGACCATGGGCTTGGAATTTTTGGTTGATCTTGCATTAATTATTTAATTAATATATATTAATATTTAATTAATAGTACTTGGTAATAAAATATTTTTTAATTAAATATATGATTAATTAAATCTGTTTAAAATAGGTAGATAACAACATATAATTAAATTTGTATAAAATAAACAAATAAGTTTTTTCAAATAAAACATTTTTAATTAATCAAAAAATAGATAGCTTTTGTTCATTCGAAATAGATAGTTATGTCTGTAAAAAAAAAAAATTAATTATATAAGTTCTTTTGGTTTTATGAAAATAGACAGAAAATAAATTTTAGAACTTTCCCTTTTTCTTTAAATAAACTTCAATTTTTTTTTATAAAGTTTTGTTATAAAAAATTTTTATAGAATTTTGATAATCTTATAATACATCAATAAATACTCAGTGGATTGATTTCGTCATTATAAAACGTAATTAATCACTGAGCTTTTTAGTATACTTGAGGTTTTAACATCTACAATCCTCTTACATACTAGTAAATAATACAATAAGATAAATAAAATCTTAAAAAAAGTAATACTTTTATACGTCTTGAAGTTTTTTTTCAAAATTTCAAATTTACCAAAAGTAATAATTTCAGATTTTCAATCTTTGTTTCAACAAACACGACTCATTAACGTCCCTACTCCATATATAAACTAGAAATTTAGTGAAAACCTTTGGGATGAAATCAAATGCATGCTGTTTGCTAGTAAGACAACAGAGGATAAAGAGTGGTAAGAACATACGCTTAGAATAGTAGGTAGTGGCTAGAGGTAATAGGCAGTTAGGCACAACCCTTTGTCATGACGGTCATCGATAACCTTTTGCGTTAAACTGCTGTCGTTGTGGATTAACTTTATACAAGTTACAACTAGGAGATTGGTGTCCGTCCGGCACCTATTGTTAAAGACAGAAACTTAATGAAGTTATTCGCAGCTGTCCACATTTCACTTGAACCAACCTCAACAAGGGAAAAATTAGAAACGTGTGGCAAAACAGTCTCCGACCGTCACTAGTTATATAAGGTTACACTCCAACTTGATAACAAGCTATATATGCTCTCATTTATAGACTTATTCCCGGCCTGGAAGGAGTATTATCAGAGTCACACCTGGTATTTCTTGTTGTTTTGCAAGTTATGGACTGAACATACCCTGTACAGATTTTTGCTTCATTATATCTAGTAGTAATGATTGAAGATATACACATTCTAAAAACAGATTAAATAACTCCTCAACACTACACACCACAGCAACCCTTTTGAGCCAAATAGGGTAGTTGATACCTTAAAAAAAAAAAATCATAACTTCAACGTCTTACAACTTTGAATTAACCTCCAACTTCTGTTATTCAGTTGAAAAAATTGTTAATTCAAATATTAAATTGTAAATGATTAGCAATAACATTTTTTTCTTTTGCCAACAATTAGTGGTAATGGCTTAAAAGCAATACTAATTTATGTAACTATTCAAGGGTCACAAAAGTCCGCCGACAAGTTAATCTAACTTTGCCTTGCGCCGTGGGAATTTATCGATCAACTGAAACTAGCAATAGCTACTTTGATAAGTTGAAGGAGACAAGTTACCTGGTAACACCATTAACTTTATATTGAAGGGCACAGAATCAAATAATAGTACTTAGTTACTTGTAATATTATCATGTAAATGGAGGTAAAGTGTTTAACTCAAAATTTCTCCAACTAAGCTGCCAATCTGCACTTTTAATCAGGTCAACGAGGCTGGTTTTCTCGGTAAATTTTAATTCTAGTTTGTATATAAACAATGTTGAATTTAGCTTTGCATTCTAATCATAAACAGGTTGATGATTGTAACTTCTACAGAAGTTTCCTGGTAAATCCCTCTTGGATGGAATTTTTCGTGTTTTATTCAGTTTGATAAGAGCTGTATAATTAAATTTATTTATGCATGTGATAGTCAAAGTTTTTGGATACCCAGATTTCAATATGCCTAAATTTGTGTAAAGAATGATACTATCAATTAATTGGAGATAAATTATAGTTGGTGATGATAACAAACCAAAAACAAAGGTGCAGATACTGGATAGACACCATTTGGTTTCAAGGTTGATAATAATAATTTGCATAGAATTATACATTATATGATGTATCATGCATATACAAATTCTCCAAGTCCATTGGCAAGTTGATTATTGTTTGATCCAAGAATTTGGATCCATTAAAAAAATTAGCTTATCAATGTAAGGCCTTTGGTGTAGGCTTCTAGGGTCAAATTTTGAGTTAAGATAACTCATATGATTAAGATGAACGAAGTATTTTGCAATTGAAGTAATTAATCACAAAATATAAGAGAAGATTTGACTCTATTTTTTTTATATTAATATCATGAATAATTTTTAAATTATTATAAAATATTTAATATGAAATCTGAATTTTAAAAGTTTCTAACGTAATATATGAATTTTGAATTTATTAACTAATATATCACTCATTTATAATCAAATGATATTATTTGACGGATAAATAATATTCAAAATATTAAATTAATTAACATATTTATAATTTAAATTTTATATTATAAACTTTTAAAATTAAGTATCATGTTTAATATTTTAATATAATTTATAAATTATTCATAACATCAATTTTTTTTAATTTGAAATTTTGGTAATTATGATTATGGCATTGTGATGTATCTCTGGATGCTTGGCGTAATTATGTATATAGGCAATCAACCTCATGATTCAATGTCCGAAATTGCAAGAAGTGCCATATTTGTATATTTGTAAAAAGTAGTACTTCATAGGTATTAAAAAAAAATGATACACTTAAATGTAATTAATTTGTATGCATTAACTGAGCAGTGGGGTTTGGGAAGAGGTAAGACTTGAAACATGATTTAAATGGTTTTTTTTTTCTCTAACAAAATATATGAAAAAATAGAAATAAAACAAAACAATTCAAGCTTTTTTTATTATTATTATTCATTGAAACTTGTCCTTGAAAAATGGGTAATCTGATTTGTGGGGGGAACAAAGACCGTTGGACGGAGGCATGGGCATGGGCATGGGCCCAATGCTTTGTTTCCACGCCTACTTTTGTCATCACAAGAGTTTCTTGATATTAATAGGCTAAAAACTTCAAAATCCTTTTAACCCACAATATTCTCATCCATGGCAGCTCGGATTCCTATCATTTTACCCTCCACTTTTTCTTCGTTGCCATGTTCAAACATTTTTCATTGCCCTTTTACCCACTTCAGGGAACCCTATGATTGCCCAAACCAAAAGACTCACGAATAAATTTTCCAATTTACAAAAATGGTTCACTACTCGATACTTGTTCATTTCCTTGCAGCATGGGCAAAATTCCATTAATATTTTACCATTTTTTCTGCATGTGAAAACGCTCTGCCACTTGACCACAAAATCAAAGCTAAAATTTTCGACCTTCAAAGGGTGCTTAATACTTGATAATAATATTGGCACTAAAAAACAATTCCAATTTGGTTTACGCGTTTAAAGTTATGAACTCAATCTTCAAAGGGTGCTTAATACTTGATAATAGTAATCTTCTTTTTCATTTCTTGAATATCTATAGTAGCCTACAACCCTATCCGACACCATTATAAAAAGAGATGTCATCAATAAACTGCAGAGAATCATTTCTTAGCCCCTATAAATTCCCACCTTAGGACACCCCAACTTCACCATCTTTCTTGTATCTATGGCTTACCAAAATATGGAGTTTTTAGCAGCAGCTAAAGCTGTTCTGCTTGGGCAGCTTTCACTGCTCTTAGTGAGCAGCTTCATAGTGTCTGCTCAAATTTTGCCTGAGGCTTTCCCTCCTCATTACCCTGGAATTTTACCTGTAATTGCACCTAGTCACCCACCAAGCCAACACCACCACCACCACCACCACCCTCACCCCCATCCCCACCCCCACCCTCACCCGCCAACCTCCTCACCCGCTAAGCCCCCAATCCATCCACCTGTTTACCCCCCACCCAAAGCCCCTACTCCTGCACCAGTTTATCCACCACCCAAGCCACCAGTTCACCTACCAACCAAGCCGCCAACTCACGCTCCACCCAAGCCACCAGTTCACCCACCAACCAATACACCATCTCATCCTCCAACCACGCTACCAACTCAGCCCCCGACTAAGACACCAGTGCACCCACCAAGACACCTACCATATCATCATCCGGCTAAGCCACCAACTCACCCAAAGCCTCTAAGGAGTCTTGTGGCAGTTCAGGGCGTAGTTTATTGCAAGTCATGCAAGTACGCTGGATCCGACACTCTCTTGGGAGCTAAACCAATTTTTGGTCAGTTCGAAATCTATCTTGGTAGTGCTAATAAAAAAGACTAAGCAAACTTTCATTTAAAACAAACAAAGAATAAGATAATAATACTTAATCTTATTCACTAAACAAAGAACTTTCAAGTGCAATGCTTGATTTCATCCATTTGCATTTAGAATCATTTGCCATTGTTTTTTTAATGGTATAATCATTTCGATTTAGGTATGCATGTACATCTCTTGTCTGCATATAAACAATGAATGTTGGAATCAAATGCATGCATATAAAATTATATTATGTGTATGCCATGATTTACTGATGTGACTTGCATTTTGTTTGAATGGAAAACTTGTATTTTGAATTTTGAGTGAGAGAGAGAAGCTTGTTTCTTGGTTCCAATCCAACTTCCATGTGTGGGTAACATCCACAGCTTGGCGTTTTATGGGTTAAAGCAAACTTTACCTTTTTTTCAACAGAGCTCACTTTTTTTTTTGTTCAGCAGAGCTTATACTTCTAGGTGTATGCAACATCAATGACCGGCGTGCCTTTTTGTAGCACCCTAGTTTGAAACAAAATAATTTTTGCCTTTTACAAGTAAATTTAGCTATACTCGAATACTGACTCAGCTGAGCTCTTTGGTATTTTTTGGCAGGTACTACTGTAAAGCTAGCATGCAAAAACACCAAATACAAGCTAGCGGTCCAAGCCAAAACTGACAAGAACGGCTATTTCTTCCTGCAAGCACCAAAGACCATAACCAGCTTTGGAGCCCACAAATGCACGGTCTCCCTTGTATCGTCACCATTGGCTTCATGCAGCAAGCCATCTAATTTCCACGGTGGATTGAAGGGTGCCACCTTGAGGCCTGAGAAACCATTCATTGCAAACAAGCTCCCATTTATTCTCTACACTGTTGGGCCATTGGCTTTCGAGCCCAAATGTTATTAAAACTAGAATTCTACTGTTTGAGCTCGCACTCTTCCCATCATTGTTCTTTATGTGTTCCCACTACTTAAAAAGTTTCCTAGCTTATTGTAATGGCCCTTTTGTTCAGTGCGTTGCTTTGAGTGACAATAAATGATAGTCATATATGGAAATAGATTAGTGACGAATAATCAACGATTGTTTTTCAACTACTACTACTATTAATTCTTATTTCTAACAATGATTCAAACCTTTTCTTTCAAATTTTTCCGATGTCCCTAGGAAGATTGGGATAATCTTATTTAACAACGGTAACGAGGATAAAGAAAAATATGGGAATACCCATTGGGAGTAGTGTATGTGGTCTGCCTTGTGGCAGACGTGACTTTTTGAAAGGGTTAAAAATATAAATCTCCCATTTATTGAAAAGTATATAAAGGAATGAAAATACATCTTTGATTCTTTTGACCAATTCAAATTGATTGCAAAGGTTATATATGTCTCATCTAAGTGTCCGACCGATGGTCTCACTTTGACAAGAAATATTGCGCAATGATGAATTTTGGATATGGTTAACCATGTTGTTGCTTTCGAATGATGACAGGTGAAAATTGCAGTATAACAGTATATGAATTTAGACGAACCTTTTTCTCTTTTTTTTTTTTTTTTTGCTGATGAAAGGCAACTCAAGCGTGGAAGATTTTAGACATGCAGGACCAAAAGTAATAATAAGACATTACGCTTTTGATTGCTTTCTATTCTTCGTGTTTTGGTAACTCTTGTTTATTTATTTTGGAAATTAAGGCACTTTCCAAATAGTAATAGTAAAATCAGAGCAGTGCCGTGCCAGCTGTTTAGACATGGTAGCGATAGTCTCTGTTGGAGAGAAACGAATGATGGTCAGTTCACCACTCGGTCAGCCTATGATCTTATTAAAGGTGCTAGTAGTACATTCGAAGAATGTAGATTTTACTGGATTTGGAAATTGAACGTCCTCCCAAACTCCAATTCTTCACCTGGGAATGTATGCATGAAATTCTTCCTACCAGGGAATTTCTTACTAGGAGAGGTTTGAATCTGATAAACCAATGCATGTTCTGCAACCATGAGTCTAAAAATCTGCAACACATGTTTAGAGATGCCCTTGGGCAAACCAGATTTGGGTGGAGCAGAAATATGTCATCAACAGTCCGAATGATATGGAGTTTAAAGATTGGACTCAGGTGAATGCTCTCTCTAAACACCGCTCGGACCAACATGGAATTCCTTGGTTTTTACCGTTTGTTCATATTATTTGGGAGATGTGGCCTGAACGAAACCAGCGAACCTTCAAGGACACAAGTCGATGGGGCCAAAGGGCTATGGTGAAAGCTGGTGAATACTTTGCGATAAATCAGAAAATTCAAAGGTTCTATAGAGAAGCCTTATCCCTGTCAGATGGTATAGGCCAGCCCAGGGGTGGTTCAAGCTTAATACGGATGGATCTGCCATTGGAAATCCTGGCAAAGCTGGAGCGGGGACGGTGATCAGAGATCATGAAGGGCGACGGGTTGCAGGGTCGGCTAGGTTTATTGGTACTAGTACCAATACTGTTGCAGAGCTCTGGGCCCCTCGAGATGGCTTAGCTCTTGCAAAACAACTCAACATCTCTAACCCTGAAATTGAAACTGATTCTGTCACTGCTATTTCTCTGATTAAAAGTACTACTGCTAATAATATCATATGCTTCAACCGTTGGTTTATGACTGCAGGAAACTGCTAGGGGAGTTCCTCGAGCATTGTATTAAAAATGTGTTCGGGGAAGACAATCGATGCGCTGACGTGCATTGGGAGCAAGAAACTCTCTAACATGGTCTGTAATGACTCTAATTTAAGTAGTAGGATCTGTTCTAATTGGGTCTGTAATGAACCTTTTTTTGTTACTTTTTGGGAACTCCTAGAGCTTTTGGAAGCCCTGCTTCTAGCTGATATGGCAGGACAAACTATGTGCCATTCTTGTTTCTAATCTATCTGATTCCATCGTTTATTTCCGAAAAAAGATAGTAATAGTAAATATACTACCACTACTACTACTACTACTATTCCATGAGCATCTTACAAAGGATCGTGGGAAAGTAAAGATTCAGCACAAGGGCTGTTTGTTGTTTCCTTGCAAGTCCTGGGTTCTACCAGGGCCAGCAGCCAAAGCTCCTGCCCCAATCTCTAAATGTGCCAAGGAAAAAAAAAATCCTGGTTAAACTTCTGTATACAGAAAACTAGAGAGAGCTTTTAGTTGCTTGACAGTGATGGCGAGATATATCATCTAGTATAAAATTGCGTCATGGATGGAAAATATAGCTATTCTAATAAACTATACGTGCTATCACAGATTCACACACATGTGACCCCTTGAACGTTGATTGACGAATGAAGATTGCAGATCATTGATTCCATTGAGGAAAAGGCTGAATAACACTTTCAGGGAGAGTAATTGGACTGCAACCAAGTGTCAGATTTGCTGGCGAAATTGGGTGCGCAAAAGCCCTTTAGACTAAACCTGAACTTCGAGTGATCAGCACTAGGTGACTTCAAGGATTGCTAGTTGGGCCTTCTTTATTTCCTACCTCAGTGTGGTAATTAGGCTTAGATAGACCCATATATTTGCTTGTCTATGCCTTTGTTTTCCCCTTTTGGGTCCCAATGAAAACAGTTGAAGCATACATTAAGCATCAAATGTTTGGAATTTGGATTCAAAGTCACTCATCCCTTAATCCATGAAAAAGGGGAGGTAAGGTGACAATATTTGGAATTGTTTACAGAATTTGATTTAGCAGCAAGCCAGCAACCTAAGGCAATGAATGCCTCTACAGTCTAAACTACAAAAACCAATTTTCTTTTCAGTTCATTTAAATTTGTTTTATTTTGTAGTTTTAATGCAAGGGCACAAAAATGTTAAATGCTACCTTCTGTCCATTTTTATACTTGCTATCTTTTTTTATTGTTTTTCTTAATGAAGCCTAACTAAATTGGATAATAAAACCATATTTATAAAAAGTACGTTTAAATTTCAGGGGGAAGGAAGGCAAAGGCAAAGGTGAAGCTTCCATTTCAGCTCTACCAAAGTTGACAAAAATTTTCCAAGTAGCTACACTAAAAATGATCCGAGTCAGCACAACCTAACCCAAAACCTTAATTTATGAAAGGACGGTGAAAGAGAAAGATTAGTTACAAAACGACACTTCAATAGGATGAAAATTTTTCTCATGTCCATCCAAAAGAAGCAATAATCAATCAAACTAATATCTATATTTTGGTAAATTTGTTAATATCACCATATGTCCTCTTTACCTACCCAACCCATCTTTAAATACTTAATTCCTTCTTTTTGGAGTACTTCAATTAACATCAAATACATACTTGTTTTTAGTGATTCTGATCACCCTAAAACTCATTGAGTAATTTGTTTTTATGCTTAAAACAGTAAAACTCATTCATGAGCCCGTTATTAATTATATCCCAAGCCAAACTAAAGTAAGTGGAATAGGATTTAAATAATTTCGACGGCTGAAATGTGTAGGGATAGGAAAGTGGGGGGGAATTCCTATGTCAAATACATCAAGATTGCAATGTTTTGTAAACGTGCCAAGTTGTATGCATCTGCCATTTTCCAATTTCATAAATGGTGTCTCTTCCATGAAAGGAACAGCTTAAAAGCACCGAAAAATCAGTTCCCTCTCCCCTCCCTGTTGTGGGAATGGAAGTGGCCGAATGTGGTCCCTTTTTCCCTTCTCACTCTTCACCTTTTTACAGCACTTGGTTTCCAGGGTTAACGTAAATGAGAATTAGATTCACCTCTCATTTTTCACTTTTTTTTTTCTTTTTATTATTTTTAACTTTTCGGTGCAGCTTAGGATACTGGCAAAAATAAGTATCAACTTCAATGTGGGCAACATTGCGTTCTGACCTTGTGGGAAACATTTGGGTATATTTATCAACATCCCAATACTCTCCATATCCCCGAATTGGTGGAAACTTTTTTTTTCACTTTTCAGTTTCGCCCCTTTCGTCTTTGATGGTTTTCTCTTTGTCCTTGATCAACAACAATGCAACTTGCAATTGGATTTTCTTTTATGTTGGCATGTAACAAACGAGCCAGTTTCCGTAAATTTGGGCATTGTGAATTGGCTCAAGATTCAGTTAAGTTCAGATTATTTTAATTTTGAACGTTAAATCTTTTTTATTAAATCAAATTTGATTAAATTCGAATTTAAATTTGGATCCTAATACATGTGTGTTAGCAAGTGAATGATTGAAATTTTGCAAAACTTTCCGAAGACAGTTGGGGACCAAATTTCTCCAAGGCAATGGTTAAATCTGATTTTATTGATAAAAAGAAATAAGCAATTAAGGAATAAATATCATTGGGGGGGTGGGGAGTGGGGACATAAACACAAAGAAGGATCTCACTGACAATAAGCTTAATACAATTCGTACGTGACAAACTACCAACAATGATGTCTACTTGATATAATAATCTATTCCGATCGTGGTCCCCTGACCCTCCATATACATAAACCAAAACAAATAAGAAGGCTTTGATTTTCCATTCTCGAATTCATTTTTCAAATGAATTAACTACTTCACCATTATGTTTTGTTATATTTTAGATAATGTAAATTTTGCTAACAACCAAATACATAGAAAATTATAAAAATCATAATTAAAATTTCAATTAATTTAAAATATCTTATAAGAACATAAGGAAAGATAGATTGGACTTAGGAAGCATCTAAATCTTATAAGAAAATATTGTAATCTCTTTCTTTTTAATGAATATTTATACCAAAAATATCACTCATGTACAAATAAAATCCTATAGTATCTTGAGTCGTTCATGATTTAAATGCACACGCCTCCGAAAAGCAAAGCAGTACATACAATAACAGTTCCTTTTTGTTGTCTCATAAATAATATAATAATTTAATATTTAATTGTCAATATTTTTATTTTAATTTCATTTTAATTTAAATATATTAAAATATGAAAATTATTTTTTCAAAATATTGAATGAGAAAATTTTTAAATATGATTTTATAAAAATTAATTTAATAAAATAATTAAAATATCAATAATCAAAATTAACCAATTAACCAAAAAAAAAAAAAACAAACTAACTTATTGGATGAAGGGAATAAATTGAACAAAGCATTAATAATACAATAATGATAAATAAGTATGCAAAAAATAAATAAATATAGTAGAGCTAATACATAAATTAATTAGCTAATTAAATGATAAAGAGAAGTGATTGTTTGATATATTCGTTAAATAAAAGTTAAAGGGTCAACAAATTTTTTAATAAAAATTTAATAAATATTTAAATTTTTATTATTTTATTGATAAATAATTAAATTTTTAAATATTTATCAGATAAAAATTTATTAACCATTAATGTTGATTTTGTCCGGTTAAAAATTTAATTGAAGTAAAAGTAAATATTTAAAAAATTAATTGATTTGAAATTAAAAATTAAAAATTTTAATTTATAATAATAAAATATAAATAATATAAATAATTATTTTTACCTTAAATAAATAAATAAATATACGGTCCTTTCTTACTGCAGTCAGACCCAAAAGGTTGTGTACGTCAATTCAAAACAACTTTAACGCTAAATTTTCATTCTTTCTTCTGGTTCCACCCATTGTATCTGAAATTCCACACACCACCAGTGGCAAGTTACCACTTGGACTCCCATAATCGATCCACACTCTCGCTTTTGGCGCGTGTAATTCCACTCGCTCCATTATACAGACGATTCAGCATCACCTTCTACGTTACGAGCGTTGAGATGTTTTTCGCCATTTACCGAAAGGAAATGTTCAACCAACAAATTTTGAATAAAAAAAAACTCATAACAATTGAAATATCTGTGCTTATTGGTTAAAAAAATTAGAGATTTTACTTGATAATTTTTTATAGCATATAGCTTAATTACATATAACATAATATTTTAAATAAAAAAATTAATATTATTAATATTTAAAATTTAAATTTATTGAATATCATTTTATATGAATAAAAAATAAATTTTAAATTTCATATAACATAACTTTGGATCAAGTAAATATAATTAATAATGAAACTTTATAAAATTAATGAACACAATGACAAAGATATTAAGACCTATATCAACAAAATTCTATGTTTGATGAATAAATTTAATTGAGTTTTGGGATAGTATAAATATTGGAAGAGAAAGTTGTGTAAAGTTGTCTTGACCTAATCTTCAATGATTTTATGGTGAATTAATTGCTTTTAATGCAATAATTCAATCTAAACTTACACCGTTAAAAGATAGATTTTCCATACCATATGATAATAATTTCTTCAGAATTTAATTTAATGATGCGGCGCGTGTCTAACAACATCCATGGATGAGGGAATAGGGTTTTAGACACAACTGAAAAGACCGCAAAGTCCCCTCCAGAACATTTCTTACCAAACCAAAATCAAAAGTACCAAAAACTCTCTCCGCTTCACAGCTAATCTCCCTCGCTCTCACCCTTTTTTCCTCTGCATTTCCCTTCTTCTTTTACTCCTTTCCTTCCAAAGATCAAAGCTCCTTCAAAAGACCAAAAAAAAAAAAAAAAATCCAAATGGAAACCTCTCCAAGGCAGAGCCCAAACTCGAATTTTCTTGCATCTCCCAAAAGTCACAGTCCCAACAGCAGCACCAGTAGCAGCAACAACACCAACCCACCATCACCAACTCCGGCGCCGCAACAGCCCAAACCCATCACCAGATCTGAATCCGCCAACCCGTACCCGACAACCTTCGTCCAAGCCGACACTTCCTCTTTCAAGCAAGTCGTCCAGATGCTCACGGGATCCTCCGAGACCGCCAAGCTTGCTTCTTCCACCAAACCAGCTGCCTCCCCTCAATCCGACCTGTACCCGAAAACCCACATCCCTCCCATCAAATCCATCCCCAAAAACAAGCAAAATTCTGGGTTTAGGCTATACGAGCGAAGGAGCTCCCTCAAGAACCTCAAGATCAACCCTTTGAACCCAGTTTTTAGCTCTACCAATTCCGGATTTTCGCCTCGAAAACCCGAAATATTATCCCCTAGCGTTCTTGACTTCCCTTCTTTGGCTCTTAGCCCTGTTACTCCCTTGATACCCGACCCGTTTGACCGATCTGGACCTGGCAATTACACGAGTTGTTTTAATAATAATGCGAAACTAGACAAGGACGCTGAAGAGAAGGCAATTAAAGAGAAGGGTTTTTATTTGCATCCATCACCGGCATCTACGCCGCGAGATTCGGAGCCTAGGCTTCTCCCACTTTTTCCGGTTACTTCACCTAGAGTTTCAGGTTCTTCCACTTCTTGAAGTAAAATAATTATTTTTTAGGTTCTTTTGCTTCTTTTGATGTTGTTGTTGATGTAAGATTTTTATATATCGTTGGGGCACTGAATTTGGGGAATGAGAAAGGAAGGGGAAAAAACGAGACTAGATTTGTAATGTTGGATACTTTAAGAGGAACGAAGAGAAAATCTTTGCTTCAATTGTAAAACTATATGCTTTGTTTGACTTAATTTATTTCTTTGTTATGTTTGGATGCTAGGAAATTTTAGACTTTGAGTGAAGAAAAATAAGAACATAAATAAAAAAAAAAAAATTTAGCTTAGTGAAATGAGGACTTGAATTTTGGTAATTTGAGAAATTACAGTGGTTTTTTTAGTAATTATCAATGACTGGGAATTGAATTGGAGGGGAGAATCAGTGTTTTTTACTAGCTTTTTACTCTGGCAATTCTTTTCGATCAATAAATGCAAAAGGTAATTGACTGAGAGTCTTGGATCCAAATTAGTTCCATTACTTTTAGATTTTAATAAACATCGTAAGAAGTGCAGATGAAATTAAAAGGAGAGAGAGGAATTTGGATTGGTAAAGTTTTGTTTGTATCAAATGGCAAAAGCAGCTTTGAGGCTAGCTGTCAAAGAAAGAGTAGATAAATAGGCAAGGAATCTTGACTTTTTTAGGGTTTTTTTTTTTCCTCAAGAGGAAAAAAAAAAGATGCCAAGAGAGGCAGGCATTTATATGTGCTTTTATTTTATTTCAACTGTCAAAGCACTCTTAATTTTCTTATTTAGTGATTTTGTACATTTATTATTTTCTACTTCTTCACACTGGTCTAGGCTCTATTCAACAATTTCCAGTCTATTATATTGACCTTGTGGGTAGATCCACCGTAATGGGCCATCATGAAAAATAATGTCACTATTGGATATGAAATGGGTCCCATTCAATCTTAACCATCCGATGCAACTTTAAATATTGAAAATTTTAGAAGTTACATATGATTTTTGGTCATAAGGTTGTCTGTTGATGTATGTGGGTGGTGGGGTCTAATGTTCTATAAAAAAAAAAGTAATAAATCTTTTCAGCCACACAATCGTATGTTATTAGGACAGTGAATTCAAGTACCCAATTGGGATAAGAGGAGGTGGAAGGAAAGAGAAAGCAATGACCCATTTTTTCTTTTAAGTTGCCTGAGGGTACTAAAATATACTATAAAACCTTGAATTGTTGTAAAAGCAATCAAGCAAAGTTAGTTCTTTCTTTGAATCTTGCACTTAAACAGTTTTAAGTTTTCTTTTTTTTTACTTAAAAGAGACCAAACTGTAGTGAATGGGGACATGAGAAAGTGCAGGTGGGAAGGCGAAGTGGGACTCGTGATGATGAAAGCCAAGCAAGAAGAAAATAAAAGAACAAAGAAACTGTGATTAAATAGGGAAAGCCAGAAAACATGGTCTGGGGATCACCTCTAATGTTTGTTTTTCTTGCCTTCCTTTGTTTGTTTGTGTGAATATATTGGTTTTGAAAGACTATGCAGCCCTGCGGTTGGTGGGTCATTTATTGGCAATTTTCAAATATCCATGTGCACTGAATTGAGCACCGTGCCAAATTATTAGCTCAAGTCGTCTTCTCCCTTCACTATCAAAAAGAGTGAACCCATTTTTTACACATGGCGGGCCTTCAGCTCATCTATCAACCCACTTTTTCCCCCAATTATCAGTTTAATCCAACTTATTATAAACTTGATTCAAGAATTTGACAGTTAATTTTTATGCTATTATATCTACTTGAAGTATTAGTTGCTATTGTAGACAATTTTAATCATCAAATTCAATATGTGACGATCTCAAATATAAAAAATTTATTAAAATTGTAATAGTCAATGAAAAATAAACTTTATTTTGACCTTATTTTTTACCAAAAAATATTAAAAGAAAAAAAAAAACATAGATAAGAACTAGGGTTACTATACATTGACATGGTAAGAAGTTGACAAACAGATGAGGCTAATGTAACTTAATATTACAAATATTTGAACTTTGAAAGGGGAAAAAAGGGGGTGTATTCAAAGGGACAGACGTGAGTGTAATGGAATCAAGGCATTGGAAGATGAAGAGTACCCAAAAAAAAACGTAATTTGATTGAAAGTTTGTTTGGCAATTTGCGATTGTGACAATCTGAATTATTGACAAAACCCTTTCATCACCTCTGAAATTTACGTCTGTATTTTAATTTGGATGATTTTTTTGGCCCCAAAGTTGAACCGAAATTTGAGGATTGGTCACTTCCTTGTGTTTACTGACGTATGATCTTCTATTTCTTTCTTCTTTTTTTTTAAATGCTCGGATGCTTTAAATTAAGTTATGATCATTCAAGCATTCAAATTTTTTTTTAATTCTTAAAATCAAATTAGGAAAAATAAGATTCAAATTAATTTATAACATTCATTTTAATTAAAGATATGCTTCTACAAATACATTCATCTAAGCTTATGTCAATAATAAAATGATATGCTTCTACAAATACATTCATCTAAGCTTATGTCAATAATAAAATGATATGCTTCATCTTATATATGTAGAAAGTGATCATTACCATTTAGATGAGATTAAACTTCCACACATATTTGATATAGGTAGGAATATTCCAAATGAAAAACATTAAAGTTTATGTACCTTTGAGAATTAAAAAAAAAAAAAAGAGAGAAAAACATTTTTAATAAAAACATATAGCTTAAGATATCATTAACAATAAAAAATTGCATTCGGCATTTAATTCAATGATTAGTTGAATTTTTTTTGCTCAAAATAAAAGAAAAAAATAAATTGACCTGCATGCAAAGAGAAAATCCTAGCAAACTCATTATTATATTTTATAATAATACACACGCGCACACGCATATACATATATATATATATATATATATATATTCTAGCCTTTTTTACGTTCATAAAATACATATTAAAAACGATAAGGAAGAGCAAATTACAAAAGAAAGAACACCTTGACCCTCTGTTGCACCACCCTTGATTAACACATATAAAACATATATATATATATATATATTTATGACCAAAAACCAAGCCAAAATACAACTGATAACTTTTTTTGTTTTTGTTTGTTTGTTTTGAAACAAGAGAAGGATGAAGAAGAGGAAGGAGATTTGGAGGAGGAAATATTGCAAGCTCAATAACTCAACATCGTGGAATATATCTTAAGGATGAAAATAGAAACGTTTTTCTTTTTTGGGTTTGATTCTCTCTCATGGGTAAACTTTCTCTTCAACTAGTGTACCTATAGCAATGCGTGATGGCGCTGCAACCACGATTGTAAGGGTTAGCTCTTTTCCTATTGTGACAGTTGTAGTAGGACTGACCACGACGGTTGCATGGGGCTGAGTTGGCCTTAAGGGCTCCATAGCTAATGTATCTTTTCCTCTGAGCAAGTTGGCGACGAGTTGTCTCGGAATCCATCAATGCCTCGGTTACATCTTCAACGTTACACTGTCCGTCAATGCATGAATTTATATCATCGTTGCCAAAATGGGCGAGACCCCAGCTGTCCTCGTCAAATGGAGTGGACTCGGCCACCATTGCCAAGGCCAAGAGAAGGAACGTCAGCCAGACCTTGGAACCCATTTCGGGAACGTTAAAAAGAAAGAAAAAAATGCTAACTTTCTGAAATGAAAGAGAAGTTGTGAAAGAGAGAGAGGCTTTTTGTAATGCCTAAGCTCTGCCCTTCCTGATAAAGGAGGGGAAGAGATTAAGATATAGAACGGTTGCGGGAGCTTCTTTGGCATAAAAAAAGAGCAAGACAGAGGAAATTTAGAAGGTAGGATGGAACTAGTGGTTTATAATTTTGTGATTTAAGCCTTTTTTTTTTTTTTTTCGAAGGTGCCCGTTTTGCCCGTTTCTTGCTCCTTGTTTTTCTGTTTGTTCTTTGCTTTTTTTTTTTTTGTTTTCGGTAGGTGGAATGTTAAACCAATATCAATATATCTATTTATACATGAGTTCTATTGTACCACGTGACGGCACTAGCTACTTTTTTATTTTTTTAATTTTTAATATTTAATAAATATTTTTAAATTATAAAAAGTAATTTTAAAATTTTATTTTTTTATATATATCAAAAAAATTTTATTTTGCTTTTATTTTTATATTTTTTGTTTTAAAAAATTAATAAAGATTGTTTATATTTTAATTTTTGTGTGAGATTCATTTGATATTGAAAATACGTTATTTTTTTATTTTTTAAGATATTTAATAAATAATTTTATGAGATTTTAATACTTTATTAAACACATTTGGTATCAAGAGTATATAGCATCTCCAGTCATTTGTTTTTTTTATTTTTTTTATTTACTTTTTTTAATTTTTAATTTAATATATATTTTAAAATATTTAAAAAAATTTTAATATGGTACCCATTTGATATTATTATTTAAAACATATATTTTGTTATTTTTTAAATTTGATAAGTTAAAAAAATAATATTAGCAAAAGTTCCAACGTCATGTCAGGATCAATTCTTTTTTTTTTAGTTCATGATATATATCTGTATATAATTTTTTCAGAAAAGTTCATCATTGCTAATATTGTATAGTAACTTTTTTTTTTTCAATTTTTTGTATTGTTTTTCTTTTTTAAAATTAATTTTTTTTAAAAAAAGAAGACCAACGAATGTGTAAACGTGACATTTTTTTTTCTTTTCACTTTTTTGTTGTTTATTTTTTAGATTAGTTAAATTTTATACTAAAAGAAATTGATAAATAAATTTTAGAAAAATAACAAAACATCCCATATCTTAGAGTTTTTAATATTTTAAAATATAATAGATGCACTTTTTTAATTTAGGATCAAATTGAGTTTTTTTTCAAAAATCGTGGTCGAGCTAGATACAAATTTAAAATGTTTTATTTTGTCCTGATATATATAAATATATTTTATTATTTATTTAATTTTATATTTATATATGTATTATAGTAATAAATTTATTATTTAATATCATAAGTTAATAAATCTGATTGCCATCCCCTTATGGCTTCCATTTTTTTCTTTTTTTCACCATTTTTTTATTTTTAACTTTTTAAAATTAGATAAATATTATAAGAAAAAAGTTTATGGATGTAGGAGGTAATAAAATAACCAATATTCGATGGGTTTTTATTTTGCCCAATTCAATATATATTGGTTTTTGAAAATATTTGAGATTGTTTTTTTTTTTTTCAAAATCGAGGTAAAGTCGAAAACATGTTTAAGGTCTTTCATTTCGTCCTGAGTATATATATAATTAAATCTTTAATTATTTATTTCATTTTGTATTTATATATTATTATATTAATAATATTATTTTTTAATTTATTAATTTAATAAAAATGCTTTATTTATATATATAATTAAGATGTAATTTATTCATTTATTTGTCTATTGATTATATATTTTATTTTAATTTTTATTTGACCTTCATTTTATTTGTCATCGTGATATCTTATAGTTTTTTTAATTTTTTCTTCTTTTTCTTTTATGTCAAATTTTTTATTTTTAATTTAAATAAATTTGTTAAAAAAATCCAGTTGAAATGTTCTTTCGGCACCCCAATTTATTTATTTATTTTTCTTTTTTTACTCACACAAAATTTTCAACAATAAAAGCCGATCAATAGGGATCGTAAAATAATTTATATCCCATGGATTTCAATCTAACTCAATCTAATAAAGGATTTTTTTTTCTTTTTTATTTATTTATTAATAAAATAATTTTGTAAGAAAATCATGTTAGTGGAGGTGTTCACATAATACTCCAATTTGTTTAATTCCTTTTATATTTTATATATTTTTTAATTAAATTAATTTTATAACAAAATAAGTCAACCGATAAAGATGATAAAATAATTAGTATCCAATAAATTTTATTCATCTTGTTTAGTTACAGGAGTTTTATGTAAAACATTAGTTCGAGTCAGGTCATGTTGTTATATTTTTTTAATAAAAAACAAAGTCAAGTCACGAATCAAAAATGGATTTATGATATTTTACCTCAAGTAATCTCGTGATATGTATAAAAGTATATATTTTATTATTTATTTAATTATATATATGTGTTATATTGCTAAAATTTTTATTTTATATTTTAATTTAAAATATTAATATTTTAAACTCAAGAATGTCTACATCGTTTCACAATACATATTTCTTTTTTTTTTTTTTTTTATTAATAAAATTATTATTTAATAATTTAATTTAAAAAATTAAAAATTTAAACACAAGTTGGATATCTACACAGTACCCTATTGAGCTCATATTTAAATTTGTTTTCAAAATTTTTCAATTCGTGTTTTTTATACTTTTTTAATTAAATTAATTTTGATAAAAATTTGAGACCAATAGAGATGTCAGTGTAGTATCCCACTTGACTTTTTTCATCTATTGTCTTTTTTGTGTTCATTAATTAAATAAATTTTACAATAATAATGATCATTGATAAAGATATCAAAATAATTTATATTTAATGAGTTTCGATTCATTTAAATTTTATAAGAAACAAATTTTTTAAAATTGAAATAGAATTGGATCAATTGATTTTTTTTTTTATAAGATACAAAATTAGAGTAGAAGAATATTTAGGCTATTTTGTCCAAATTCATTTTAATGTATATAAAAAGAATATCTTTTATTATTTAGTTTTTATTTATATATGTGTTATTTTAATAAAATTACTTTTTGATATTTTAATTTTAAAAAATAATATTTTAAACTAAATATGGATATATGTCCATGTGACAGTTTCTATGAACTTTTTTTTCTTTATTTTTTTTCGATTTCTTTTGTTTTAAATTTATATGTTTCTATTAGATAATTTTGTGAGAATACGTGGTTAAATTAAGGATTCACGTATCACCCATATTTTTTATCTTTCATATTTTTTAATTAGATAAATTAGAAAATTTGAGAGCAAAACAAGTAATACGGTATTAGTTATTCAAGCTTCCTAATTGGCTAACATCAATCCACGGCTGACGAGAAAAAAAATAAATAAAATGAATGGATTGGAGGTAGAGACACTGTAGAAATGGTTGACAAATCTTTTATATTATAAGGTTATTTGCATCGATCTATTTATTACAGTACTTTCTGGATTTCCAGTGAATATGATACATGCTTAAAATTTTAGGTTTATAAGCAACACAGTCTGAAAACTTGATGATTAAGGGTGGAAAAAGAAAATTGAAAAATGATTCGACAGTATGATATTCGGATGATTAGTTTTTCATTTGATTTGAATTAAATTTAAAAATTAAATATATATTAACTTTGGATCAAATTTTGAATTACATAATGAAAATCTCAAAAAAATTAAATCAAATTTAACCAAATTATATATTTTTATTAATTTATATATATAGTTTAAATTTTTATAAGATACAAATAATTATTTTATATCTAAATTTATTTAAATATATTAAAATTTATATTAAAATAATATATAAAAATTTAAAAAACTTATGAACCAAACTAAAATAATAAAATTAAATTCGGATTGAATCGAATCATATGAAAATTCAGTTCAATTTCAAATCAAATTTTAAAAATTATAATTTTATACATTATATAAAAAAATTAAACCGCTGTCACTTTTATCAACAAGAAAGGAAACTAACGTGGTCTGGTTTTTGTATAAACATATGCGAGTGGCATGACATATTTGTACATTTGAATTTGGTCCAAGTTTGACCTAATCTAATAGCCTATTGGGTCAAGTTACTAGTGGTAAAAGTCTGTTGCTAAGAATTCATAGCCCAAGAGATAATACTGGGCTGCAGGTTTGGCAAGGCACGAATCCCATCACGGTGGTAGTAATTGGGTTTTCTTGTGAGCTAACAATTGCTGCCCTAACGGCCAACCTAAAACTAAGGTTTCCTTGAGCTGAGCACAGTATTTTGGCAATGACAGTCTCACAGAACCTGCCTCAACCGCAGTCTCCTCTCCCACTTTGGCAGGGAAAAACCAATCTATTGACATAAAAACTTGTAGTTTGCTGCAAGGATTGTCTAAGAACTATGACGCTTGGAGCCACTACCTGACCAATATCTGTTAAGACATCTGTAAAAAAGTTGCCTCTACGCAAAGTTTGCTTTTGAGACTTGAAAACCCGTAACCTTTCTACAGTTTTATGAAGGGCCATCAACAACAAAGGAGAAACTATTTGTGCGTATCTTTTTGGCTGACAAATATGTTGGTAGTTTAAAATATGATGTATTTTATATTAGATAAAAAAATTTAATTATTGATGAATAAAATTAATTTTTATAATAATTTTATTTATATTTTTAACAATTATGTTTAGACAAATAATTATTATATAATAAATTGTTATAATTATTTGAATATAAATATATATTATTCATAAAAGTTATAATTATATAAAAATTCATAATCATTAGAATAAAAATTTATATCTGTTCATTTATTATAAATAGATATTTTAGTATAATTATTTTTATTATTTTTGATTGGAGAGTTTGAAGTTTTTTTATATTCTAAATGTATAATTATCTTTAAGAAAATATTCTACATGCCTCAAAGCTAATTTTTTTTTTTAATTTCTATTCTCTTATTTATTTTTTTAATAATTTAAAGGTAATTATATGAAATCTATATTTCGCACAAGGAATGTATAAGAAAAAGAAATTGGCAAAATTGATTTTTGAAATATGTAAAAAAAGTTTCAAATATGCAAATGATTTTATATTTTCATTTGGCATTAAAGGAAAATTCAAAAGTGTTGCAAATATGT